ACTTTATTGATTTACATGCTGCTATCCATTATCTTGTAATCACCTTTAATGAAAAAGAATATGAAAACGAATATACGTATGTATATGCATGACTGGGACATTGTGCTGAAAACCAGAAATTGACACGTTGTAACTAACTGTACTTCAATCTAAAAAAAATAAAAGAGTAAAGCTTGTGGCCAGGCTTTTTAAAGAGCAGTATTAATGAGGACCTATACCAAGATTATAGAAGAAATGATGGTATATATTATCCTAGCAGGTCACAGATAATTATATTTAAAATTATATTTAAAAATTATATATATACATATCTGTTAATAACTAAATATTTTGGTGTAAGGAAAAGCTGCAATATACTTATAGCAGTGAGAAGAACTTGATCTCACACTTCCTAGTTAGTGCAGTGTAAAATGAAACTGAGTTCTAAGAGATTTGTTTGTTGTCTGATATTACATGTTTTTGTTCATATGGTTAATGGTGATTAAATACAAGTAGTTTGTCCAGTTCTGTGAACTCAGGAAACTCGGAGTAGGTAGTACTAACACAGTTATGTGTTTAATCCATGCTAAGTGTCCTGTTAAGCACTTTATATCCATTATCTCCTTTGATTCTTAAAATATCTTACTTCACATAGCTACTTTGTTCCCATTTTACTGCTGAACAGACTTGGGAGCGGGTGTTACAGAGCTGAATTACCTTGCCTGAGACCACACCGCTGGTGTTTAATCCAGACATTTCCGACTGCCAGGCCCAAACTCTAACCAATGTACTCTATTACTGTAAGTAGCTCATTATTTCAGACATGCTGGCACTTTAACAAATTACATATTTCACAAGAATTTTTTTGGCTGCTATTGTATTATGTAGATGAAAGGAAAACAGTTTCTGATTAAAACAATGGAGCGAGCCCCACTTGGCTGATATTAGTAAGTCATGCCAGGTGAGCCTGGTTCACCTCGCTGTCACAGTGGCCTCAACTGAAATGTAATCCTTTACTGGGCAAAATATTATATAATTTAAATATGGCTGGAGAAAACCTATTAAAAGGTGGATTATTATAAAAGAACAGAAATTCTTTTTCCTCTTACTGTTCCTCTTTTAACAAACTGTCACACTAAACTTAACCATTCCTCCAAAACATGAAACTAAGCCCTTTTGAGCAATTTCAGACATTTCCACAAATGAATAGACATAGCAACGTGTCATGAAATCTTGCCAATTTACAATGCCTAGATTACTTCACAATAATATATTTCTTTATTTAAGAGCTACTTTATTGCCTCTTTACAATTTTCAGTGTGGACTTCTCTCCCCATTATAAAAAAGCAGTAATGTGAAGAGAAAGGTGTCAGCTAAAGCACAGGTTGCAAAGGTTCCAGTTTCCACTGAGCATAACAAACCACATCGATCACAGCTCTGTGTGGCGAAAATCCTCTGTGAAATTACTTTTTGCATATGTTTAAATATTATCCACAATGGGAACTCTTTCCTGTAGAAATGCTTTAAAATAATATGGCTGACTGTTACCATGTGAATGCTTTTTTTTTTTCTTTTAACATAGCCTTTTATAATCCTTTTCCATGTGAGTTGTCTCTTGGTAAAAATGAACAAAATACGAAATTCAGGATAATTTTATCATTCGCATTAGCAAGAGAACAATGGCAAGTGGCTTTGAACGGCTCTTCCATCTGGCATTTCAGTTACTGTTTAGATTAATAGGTACAATAGGAGTCGAAATTTTCTGGGCCAGAGTTTAATGGTGCTCAGCACTGCTTCTTTCTGAAAGGACCTATCCACCTGTGGACAAAGGGTTCTGCCTGTTACCATGGCCCTGAATAAAGTGACTGATGAGCATGTGAGTCTGTTTCAAGTTGCAGAAAGGAAGGACTTAAATTCCAGTTAACTACGCAGTCTCTTCCTGATACGAATTATGCCAGCTGAGATAATCAATAACTTATCAGGCTGCCGAGAGCCCATTAGCATGTACTTAACATGCTAGTGTTCACGGCAGTATTCTTCAGTGTGGAAAGTGGCCCTTTAGTATAACATACTTCAATAGTTTAAGCTCAATAATAATAACTCTTGTTTAACAAGATATTAGATTGACTCTTACAAATTAGAAGATTGTTTTCATGATCTATGTAATCTACTCTATTAATAAAAATAGAACTGAAGGCTCTTGGCACAATTCACTTCTCACTTCTACTGTCAAGTGGGCTCTAAATATAAGGAATCAGGCTTGCCCAATTAATCACAGCCCTGAACAATGTGTCTACCTGAAGAGAATGTAAAACCACTGCTATTAGAAAGTTTAATTTAAGCCCTTGGGCTAAATTAAAAAGCTTTTCAAATACAGAGATTATTGTCCAGTAATAGCAAAACACAATTACATATTTTTCATGGAATTTTAGGAAATTACTTTCAGAAGAAAAGAAATTGAGCAATTTGCCAAATAATTTGAAGGGAGTTGAATCTTATCGCTGTCACATTTTTAGCATAAATAAGAAAATGGCAAGAAGAAATAGAAACAGTGCAATGAGAAGTGTTTGAGATCCTAAGATTTTCATTTGCATCCTCTGGGTGACAAAGACAAGGTTTTGCATCTGGTGTCTGTGCACTAACTGGGTTTTCCACTGTCTACTCCTTAAATACAATTCTGATTGTGCAGCCTTAAGAAAGAACAGCTAAGTGAATGAGCAGGATGCAGTATCTCATGTACTGTTCCCACTTTGGGATTGTCGTATTGCATCTGTGGGACTGAATCTTTTAAGGAGCTGTCAAATTTAATTGGCGAATTTGGACAGTTCTGGTTTACTGGATGTATCACACCACCAAGATCTTTTTTCTTTCATCACTTTATGTTAACTCCGTGATTTAAATATTGCCATCTGTGAACAAAGCCTACAGAATTAAAGAAACAGCTTTAGTAAATTAAAATCTTAACTGATGCATAATTTGAAGATTTTACCATTGCTGACTTGATATTTGGTGTATTTATCTTTTCTCATGGCAGGTATTGTATTTTGTATATGTTCTGTATTGCAGAATGCCCTATAAACACTTCCATATATTTAAAGACAGTAAAAAAGAAGAACAAAATCTATAATATCAACAGCAGATATGCAATCCTTTTAAGAATAAGGACAAATGCTTCAAAGAAATACTCTAAATGAAATCCAACTTTTTCTCCTACCTATGAATCCTGCATTGCCTGAGACCTAACACTCTATCTCTCATCCCACTGATTAAATTTGCTTTCAATGCCTTACACATAAAAAGCTTTCCTGTTTTGTTTGTTTGTTTGTTTTAATATCTATAGCTTCTCTTCTGGTCTTGGCTTAAATGCAATTTCCACAAAAGGTACAGAGGACCTTTCCAAACATCCTAAGGTTCCCCCTCCAGTTATTCCCCAAAGTTTTTCCTTCAAGCAGTTATCAAAGATTACAATCTTCTATTTAAAATTTGGTTTCTTTGCATATTATATGTTTACTCACAGGATGTGCACTCCATAAGGACAGGGACAATAATTTTGTTTTTCTATTTTTTGTTTACTTGTTTCTGTCATGTAGACCCCACATCTAGCAGAGATAGCAGCTGTAGTGGAAGTAGTTGTGATAGGAAGAGAGGGAGGATTAGAAGGAAGAATAATAAAATTATTTAATAATGAAATTAATACATTTAATAGCTAAGATTTTCTAAGCTTTTTATGCCAAGCACCATGTAAGGATATTTGTACCATCTCATTTAGTTATTAAAGCAATCATGATGGTAGAAGCTATTATTATCTAAGGTTGGCAGAGGGAGACTGAGGCTTAAGAGAGGTGAAGTAATTTATTCAGGATCATCAAATTAATTAAGTTGGTGCCAGAATTCAAAATCCTGGACATCCCACTCCAGAGCTCACATGAAAGAACTTGTTAAATGAATGGGTGGAAGTGTGAATAAAATAGGGAAGCAGAAAAGAAGGAAGGGATAAAGGAAGGAAACAAGGGAGGAAGGAGGGAATAGAGAAAGAGAAAGAGAGAAAGAAAGAAGGAAGGAGACATGTTACCTAGAGTAATGGATGACATGCTGAAAATTTTTATCTTCATGAATTTAGACCAGTCAAATACTTAGCAAGTTTAATAACCTACCTTTTTAAACTGTAGGTTCTGAGGATGAGAGGTTGTAAGGCTTGACAAATAATGGTTTCAGGTGAAATCATATTCTTTATATGTGCAGTTATCTTTGTTAACAGTGACCATCATAGATCACTTTTGAAAATCAACATTGTGAATGATATACCTACCAATAAAGCAACTGCAGCTATTTCCCTAAGCCCTGATGGGTGGAACATTTCAGCCCAGACATGAGGAATACAATGATAACAAATACTACTATTGAATTAGTGGTTGTATGTGTCCATTTTGCACTAAGCACCTTACTTCTGCGTGTTCTCCTTTAATTCTCATACAGTCCTAGGAGGTGTGCACAGAATCACAAGGCCAACAAGATTTGAACTGGGATTCAGATACAGACATTCTGATTCCAGATCTATAGCCCTTAAGAAGTCACTCCCCAGTGGCCGTGATCATTTCTGCATGAAGTTGGAAGCTATGGAAACAGAGGGTTTGTAAGAATTTGTGAAGTTCATAGGTAGGCATTATACCTTCATCACCTGAATGAATCCTCACAACTTGAAACTTTTTTTATTTGACAAGTGGGAAAACAAAACTCCTAGAAGTTAAGTAATCTGCTGAAGTTTCCCCTAGCTATAAATGGCAGAACTAGGATTTGATCCCAGGCTTGTATGTTTACCAAGCCCACCCTCATTTTATAAAGAAGCCACAATGTTACCTGGAGCTTACTGCCTACTGTAGCCATTAACAGAGAGGAGAATCAGCATGGCTTGCTATAGTATTCCTGGTCTCCAGTTGAATTATTTGAATGATAATTCTGGCTTAACTCTGAATAGCTGAAACGTTTTAATTCACTCTGTTGAAAATGGTTATTTTCTTTAGATACCTGATGTATGCAAGTGCAGGAACTGCTGTGTAATGATGGGGATGCTACGCCAGCATCATCCTCAAGAACAGATTCTTCTCTAGGATTGGAAAATTGCATCTTAAAGGTAAAAAAAAAAGCTTCACTTCGAATATGCTCATCCCAAAATATATATAAATACAGTCATTATTTTAACAACTCAATATTCATAAATTGATAATAAATGACGTACCAGTTGAAACAAGACTTTTGAAAGATAGGAATATATAAGCACTGCTTGTAAATGTGGAATCTGACCAAAATCTGTTTTATAACTAAAGTCCTATAATATTATGAAATGGGTGTAAACTAAATAATAATGAATAATTGTTTATTGAGCAGTTTATATAATATACCATGAGGTGATTAAATAATTAGATCTGGAGCTATTATTCTTTGAAGATAATTAATGATATAAAAAAGGAAGTGTCATCTGCTGAACATATGCAGATTTCTGTCTAAGCATTGTTTTAAAGACTTTCCCCATCATCTTGGATGTCAGAATAATACCAATTTCATAATCTAATGGAGAAAGCACTAAAGTAGAATGCTTATAACATCCGTAGACCTAAGCAGCCATCATGATCTTAGCAGCTGGCTCAGCGCAGTGGGATAGAAAGATGATGCACAATCCTGAGTTTTCTCCATTAAGTGGGGAGAGAGAAATAGAGCTTACACCCAACATTCTAGTGAATTGCCCACAGAAACAAAGGGAAGTGACTCTTAGCACCACACATGGCTCTGTGGGATTTGGAGAAGTCATATAACCCTGAGAATTCTCCCCCAGAAGGGAGTGAGGGGAGTGGAACATACACAGTCATAAAAAAAAGATTTGAGAGACTTGCACAATCTCTCACCAGATGAATTTGTGGAGGTCTTTCCCTGCAAAGCCAGTCCATGAAGACTGGAACAGATGGCCACTCCTTCATGTGCACAGACACCAATAGAAATCCACAAGAAACATAAAGAATCAGGAAAAAAGTAATTAACAGCAACCAACCCTAAAGAAATGGAGATCTATGAATTGCCTGAAAATAATTAAAAATAATTGTCTTAAGGAAGCTCAGTGAGGTACAAGAGAGCACAGATAGACAACTAAACAAAATCAGAATATCAACAAAGTGAAACTTTAAAAATGAACCAAACAGAATTCTGAAGCTGAAGAATATAATAACTGAACTGAAAAATTCAATAGAGAGCTTCACTAGCAGGCTTGATCAAGCAGAAGAAAGAAATCAGTGAACTTACAGACAGGTCACTTGAAATTATTCAATCAGAAGAATAAAAAGGGAAAAAAGAGCACAATAGCATGCCTAAGTTAGAGAAACAGAGAGCAGCAATGTTACACAATCATAACTCACATATTCAAGACTGTATTTCTGGAGAACAAGTCTTTCCATAAAATATTAATTAGTGAAGACTTATTACCACAAGGGACTAGGAAATAAGAACCATGGATCAGAAAAAGATATTCCAATAAAATCAGACTCACTGAAATAATCTAGATTCAGAACTGTTTCTAAAGCCAAAGTGCATGTCAATTATTGAGTTTCCTAGACAGGAGGTGGATATTACCTTTATAGTTCATTTTATATAATTATCTGAAATATATGTAGTATTCATGATACCATTTTATTTATCCATTCCCAATAAATTTTTATGTGAGTATGACAAATTCCAAATTAAAGAATAAAGTTTTGTTTTAGTCAGATTCTGATCATGTTAGACTGCATCTAAATATGAATGCCTACAGTGAATATAACTAAGAATACTTCTGTTTTCAGGTAAGCAAGGAAAATTCTCAAATGACAGACCTATCATCTAAAATATTAACTAACAGATAAGTTGTTACAAATGGTATTCAGTTGGATTTACATTGTGGAATAGTGTAAATAAAAACTAGTACTATGTTTTGAATAATGAAGCATCCTTTAAAAAGTCATAGATTTCTTTTAAATGACATTTTAGAATCAATGATAACTTAATAATCACTCACAACCTGATTCATAATATTAAGTTTCCACTTTATTTGACCTTAAAGCTTCCCCATTATTCAGGCTTTGATTTTTTTTTTAAGAATATGATTTTCTTTTGTGTGGATGAAATAATCTGAAAATAATGAGTGAATTATTATCTGAAGTTTGAAAGACCTTTCCTTAGGGGGGAAAATCCCCATTTCAAACACTATATTACCCACGAAACTTTTTCAAATTTTTTGAACCAGAAATAATACAATTTTATTTTAATCCTTAGCTTTGAAGTCAATCATTGCTTCAGATTAGCACAAAATAAAGTGGGTGGGCCAGAGACGAAAAAACCCACTATAATATATGACATCTTCATTTTTGCATAACCTGAAATTATCACATACATTGAAGATGTTTAAGTTGTGCTCTGATCTGAGTTTATTATCTACCTATGTTCTTTCAATATGAAATGAAGAATAAAGCTTCTAACTCCTATCACTTACCAGTTACATAGTGAGGCAACTTATACTTTGTCACCACCCTTCAATTTCCTCATCTACTAAGTCAGACTATAATATTACTTCCCAAACATAATTGGCACATGGTAAACTCTCACTAATGGAAGTGATGGTCAAAACTATCATTTTATACTTTCTTCTTTTGAACTCTCATTACACTTTCTGGCGTTAGGACAGAGCCCCTGTTTTATTCACCTGTGTATCCTAAGCACCTTGAGGCTTTCAGTAAGGACATGATGCAGCTTGGTATATATAGTGCAGTGGTTCTCAGACATGAGCATGAATCCGAATCACCAGGAGAGCTCATTAAAAAACAGCCTCCTGAATTGCATCCTTAGGTTTTCTGATTAGTAGGTTTCTGGTGAGGTCTGATAATTTGTATTTCTTACAAATTCCTAAGTAATGCTGATGCTGTTGGTCTGGGGACTGCAGTTTGAGAATATTTATATATGGCAAAAAATTAAATTGACATTGGAGTCAAATATACTAGTATGAAGTATTACAGGTAAAGAAGGTGACCATTCGGTGTTAAATCCACTTTTCTCAGAAACTCAGTGAATGAGCTACCCCTTCCCCAGTCCTAAGATTGGACGGCACGTGACACCCCCACATCTCACTCCACAGTGGCAACTCTTGCTCCTCTGTCAGTCTCCTGACTTTTGATAGCTAAGTAGGAGTGTTGCTTGTAATCCCCAATCAACCCAAATCCCTGCTCTGCCCTTCTATCCTCCAGTCCCCTGATGAGACTTTTCCTCATTTCTCATTTCTCAACTATTCTCTTTTCAACTCAGAGTTAACACTCAACATGGTGCTGGCTCAGGAGCTGCTCCCCACTCAGAGGCTATATTATCCCTGTCACTGTGCCAGGTACTGCGCTTTGGTGAATAAAACATATTTTCGAAAAGTATATAGTCTGGTGAATTCAAGAGAAAGGTAAAGCTTATGTAAATAAATGTGAGGATTATCCGTACAATGACATTTGACCTGAGGAAAGATCCCAGAAAGGAAGTAAAGAGAAATAACACACTGCACTTAAGGACAGACACTGAGAAGGAAACCACATTTCTTTAGAAGGAAGAAGGTTGTGTACCTAACAGCACTGCACTACTAACTGCTATACCTGTTAGCCATGCCGATTTTAAAAAATCTTTTAAAAGGTTCATGGCCAAAATCACCTGTAACTATTTTGAGAAAATTTAAGATTTACTGAAGACCGTTTGGAATACAGACATCGCAGTGCTGTTTCTCTCCTATCACATGAAAATGGGCTCAGCTTGGTCAGAGAACCCATAGTTTTAAATTCATCATTTCACTGTCTACTTATGACTGTACAATCAAAATGTTCTCATATGGGGGGGTGTTTTCACTTTCCTGTTTCGCAAAATTTCTTAACCGAGTTATCAACAGACCAAAGGCTGACATATTTTGATTTGTATTTTACAGGCCTCTATATTAGAGCACATATACATATGAACAGTAATAAAAAGGATTTTACTGCTTCTGGTTTTCCTTACTACCATTTTCTTAAAAAAAAAAAAAAAAAGAGCCCAACATAATTGTAGCTGTTCACTCAAAAAGGTTTGGAGATAGTAATATCCAGTGAAATGAGGCAGACATATCAACAAAGGGGGAAAAAAATCACATCTTCAAAGAACTGGCAGGAAACATATTAATGAATTATTTGTTTTGAAGGTCCCAGTGCCTTAAGGCGTGTTCAGGATCCAGACCTAAAAGCAATGTGCTTTTGAAAAACTAGAAGTGACAGGATGAAATCTGGATAGCTTATCACTGCGGAGAACAGGTGTCTGCCACCTCTTTCATTACACTGACACACATTCTGCACTGTTCATCAACCTTATTCTTTTCTTCTCTAGCCTAACCTTTTGGTGACAGTAAACATGACTTGACAGAGGGTCCAACACAGAAATTACATGATCTTTAACCTTTTTCTGATTTGTGACAGGTTTGGGACACATCTGGACTAATCCATCAGGAAAAATGTCTTTGGAATTATAATGACAGTGATCTTCAAGAGCAAACCATCATATGTGTAGGTAAAGTCTTTTCCAGTTTAAATCTAAATGAACAGAAAAATTATAACTTTCTACCTAAAGAAGTTCATTGACTTGCGTGAAAGGAAACTTTGCCATCAAATGAAAGGCAAAAATAGTTCAGCATACATTTTTAAAATGCTTACATAGCAAAAATATATCCTGGAAAATAGATTATAAATTAATTCTTATGGCTTTAATATTAAATAGAGCTATGTGTGTAACTGAGAAAACAAAGATACTATAGACGTGGAGCTTAGGCATTTGCAAAGTTGGAACGTTTGATACAAATATATGTTGATATAAATATATCTGTAAGTGAAAATGTCCTTATAAATGAAGAGCATTTTAACTATTTATAACTGAAAAAACTTTGATAAAAAAATATGCAGCTAAATGCTGATGCAGCTACTACCTAGTTGTGAAATAAAAGGAAAGAAATATTTTCAGTTGTAAACATTTAAAGTTCCCTCGTGCTCTGGAGCAGAGGACTGGTGTTTTTTAATCTCTCTTTTTAATCAGGCAAATTTGTATGAGAATAATCATATTCTGAACTAGAAAAAAAACATGAAAATCCAGCCCAGTAATCTCTTAGCGAAAGTAGAGAAAATGAGGCACTTTGCCTCTATTAAACACAGTGCATGTTTCGATACATTTACTCACATGGCTTATGACTTTATACATTGAACAGCCAAACCACAGTATCCCACACGGTTAAGGAAAATTTCCCTGTCCCTCATACTTCTCTCCATTTTGTCTGGCTTTCCCAGGTGACTAAAGAAAAAGCAGACAGTCTCGGTTGTCTTATATCCTGAGATCATTGAAATCCCTTCATTTACTTTATTAGAATAAAGTTTCTACATATATGATTCCAATAAAATTTTAGTAATGATTTGAGTGGTGAATGGAGATCATACTCAAGCCACTTAGCAATGTGCCACCAGTATATGCCACAAAAATATATTCCTAATGTGTAAAACCCTTGGTGGAGATGCTCTGCCCACCCTAAAATAAATTTTAGCCGCAATTATTCCCTGTAGCCAAAATGTTAAGGTGTTCTTACTATTAGATATAGTAGAATTAGTAGTGATCCATTTGAACAATACTGACTAAATGACTAAGTTATTTTTCCAAAAATAGAAATAAAGATGACAACTGTGACCATGAGATACCTTCCATCCATCCATCATTCAGTTCACTGTGTTCCTCGGCTCATTTCTAAAAATTGACTTAAGGATGTATTTTGTAAGTACGTATTTTGGGCTTCAGGTTATACTACTCAGTTTCAAATGAAGGCTTTGTTTTGATTCTGGGATTCACTTAACATTAGGATGCCAGATAGCAAGTACATGTGGAGATTTCTAAATTAGATTGAGTTTGAAAAAGTCTCTTTTATTCCATTAGCCAGAAGTAATGTAATATGTATTTGTAAAATAATGTACTTACTGCATTTTAAAAATGAAAATGACTTTCTAGTTAATTACTTTCCTCTAATTTTTGACTTCTAGGATATAGTGAGGAATATTTCTACTTAGCTAAAAATTCAGTTTAAAAATCAGTATCCAGTCCATAGAGTAGTGAAAGATTTTCATTTGTAAAAATATCCTCATAGAGTATTCTTAAAGATGTGTAGGTTCTGCGCATGTGGGAAGCGCAGTGGAAAGCAACTGGGGAGGCAGTGGGGTAAATATTCAGGATAACAGCAAGAGATCAAGAGATAGGAAAATGTTGGCATTTTGCCTAGAATTTATCCTGAGGTGTTTACAGAAAATGTAGCCAACTCGCATGATTGGTCATGGATTATGGAGTAATGCCAAGAGGTTGGCTGGGGATTGTGTAGTGACCAGCACTTTGGTGACAATATCAGCTTCATATTTGGGGAAATCCAGAGTTTCCAAATGAATTGACTCATCTGGGGACTTGAGAACACCTAAGTAAATTCAACGTGGGTCTGGGCATTTGTGTTGGGGTCACTTTTCTAAACCTGGTTCAGAACTGCTCGTAGTGTTGGCACGGATGAGAAGAATGTAGATAAGATTTAGTACTTCTCTGATTCCCTCCATGATTGTCATTTGACACTTTAAGCCATTCCAAATAAGCACCCCTCCCAAGTAAAACTAGTATCTTTGCCAAACAAACGTATCTTCAAGATGGTCCTTAAAACCTAAGTTTCTACAACAATTTCACTTCCTGGTATATCTGAAGGCAATACAATCAGTATCCTGAAGAGATAACTGCACCTCCATGTTCATAGCAGCATTTTTACAATAGCCCAGGCATGGAAACAACCTAAGTTGACTGAAGAAAGAAAATGTGTTGTAAATGTAGACATACATGGAATACTATTCATCCATTAAAATAAAAGTAGGAAATCGTGCCATTGACAGCAACATGGATGGACCTTGAGGGCATTATGCTAAGTGAAGTATGTCAGACAGAGAAAGACAAATACTGTATGGTCTCACTTATATATGGAATCTACAAAAAATAGGCTCATGGAAACAGAGATCAGATGAGTGGTTACCAGAGGTGGTGAGCAGTGGGGAAATTATGAAAACAGTCTAAAAGTACAAACTTCCAGTTATAAGATAAATAAGTTCTGAGGATGTAATGTACAGCATGATGACTATAGTTAATAATACTGTGTTGTATATTTGAAAGTTGCTAAGAGAGTAAGTCTTAACCATTTTCATCACAAGGAAAAAATTTAACTATGTGAGGTAACAGATATTAACTGATTGTAGTAATCATATATATCTATAATAAAATTATATGTATAGATATATATATAAATCATTGTATTGTATACCTTAAATGTACACAGCATATGTCAATTATATCTCCGTAATCCTGGGGAAAAATAAACCTATGTTGCTCCTTCATAGAAATTCTGAAGCTTTCAACAATGGTACAAAATAGGTGCTCAAGAAATATTTGTTGACTGAATAAAAGTGTTAATGAATGGGTGAAATGACTGTGGAGATACTGGGCCAAACTATAGGTCTCTAATTTACAATGATCCTCTTTTAAGTCTTAGAATTTTTCCTGGTGTTACGGTGAAAGTGTGAAGCTAGAGCAGGAATGTGCTTATAAATGTTTTAACCAACAGCTGGCAAACCTGAGAGTTGATCAACCCAGCCATTTGAGCTGAATTCAGTTATGTGAGTCTTTTTTATATAGTGGTTAAGTTGATTTAGTCAACATAACATGCTTGACAATATTCAGAATTTGTTTTCAGGTGTGTAGCATCAGCAAAATTAAATCAGAAGTTTCCTAAAGAATTTCCAAAAGCTTTGAATACGACTTACATTGTTGCCTAAGAATAGATAAACAATGGCATTATTTCCTTCCTCAGGTACAGGAAAGAGAATTACTGAGTTTAGGATTAGAACAAGGGATACTGATATATAAAAATGGAAGGCAACACTACTTCATAGGAGGTAAGCCAAGTGACTGAGAAATCCTTAGTATTTCTGTTAATTGTAGTCTGCACAGCAAGAAGATTCGATGAGTATAATAGAAATTCTAGAACTAAGTCTTCCATAGATTCCACAAGCTTTGTAGTTGCTACTATAGCTCTTAAAATAGGAGAATATGCCTCATTTGTTAGACCATCAAAGCACCATTAGTGTCTGATCAGAATATAAATGATCAAAAAGGAAAAGGCTATGTGGTAATTAGGCAATCCTAAAGTTGGGCATTGTTGACCATTGAACTAACTTAACTTGCCCTTACTAAAAGCTTCTCTCCCTTAAAAAAAGTTCAAGACGTGAAGATCAATTACATAAATGAGGTGAAATCTTAGAAAAATTTGACACACGATACCTTCAATAACCTTGCTAACTAATGATAAAAATTTCCGGAACTGATTTCAGAATTAATCTAGAAAAATTCCAGATACGTACAATCCTTTAGAGGTTAGCAGTTTACCTTCTGGGGAATATATTATATTCTCAATAGTGAGCTTTCACTGGTAGAATTGCAATTTCTTTGAAGGCTTTATATCTCCTCTGAAGTAATGACTTAAATAAATGAATGCAAACAATTTATAACTTTCTCTTTTGGGCTTCACCAAAGAACAGCCATATATTGCAAAATAGGGAAGTCACAGGAAATTTTATAACCTTTAGGTCTTGATTGAGAGAAGCAGCAGAGGGCTTCTGTAAATCACTGATGTATAATAGACCCGGCATGTTGTTGATTTTCCCATGACAAGGCAGATAATATTGACTGTTGTGATCTAGAGGGATAGTAGGGAGAAATAGCACAAGTATATAATGCTAAAGTAGATGTGTTTAGGTAGCACTGAGAATAAAATAACATTTGCTTTGGGGACCAGTGAGAAATAGATCACATTTTATTTACGGCACTAAGGTCTTGCACAAATCTATGTCCATGCATATTAGGTGTTTTTTTTTTTTCCCTACAAGCAATGTGGGAATATTACAAGCACTAGTATAAAGAGTGAAAGGGTCTCTTTGTGAGAAATATTCCATAACAGAACCAGTCCTTCTCTTGCTTTGGACTTTAATGGATATTGGGTACGATTGGGCAAAGGCTCGGATAAGTTATTCATTACTTGAATGGGATCAGCCTCTAATATTTTTGAGATATCAGTGACTCTTGGCCCAAAGGGTACCAGGGTCCTCAAGTAATTCCTCAAGTCGGGATGGGTTAAGCACGTAGGACTGAAGAACAGACGTCCACTTGAACTATCAGTGTGTGTTGCATATAGGAGATGTCAGGTATTTCAGGAAACAGTCCACCTGAAAAACGCTTGATTTGATAGTTTTAAAAAGAATCTCTCAGTAATAAATTTGTGTTCCTACAAAGAAGGAATGCAAGTTGGGCTCACAAGAGGGCTGAGTTATTGTGGCATGATGGGTGAGGGGGAGAGTCTGAGTGGTATTTGAAAAATCTACGACTTCAGTAGCCTAAAGTCTCTGAAGAGAGGTATAAAAATAGTCATAGAATTTACAGTTGACAGAACAGCACCTGTGCCATTTAGA